AATGTGATCACAAAAACAAAAGTGAACTGGAGTTCACCGCAGCATCACCGATCTGTAAGTCGTGGACGTTCTGTTCCAGCAGCAGAACAAAGAGTTTTGGGTCAGACAACCCGTGAAGCACAACAACAGCCAGGACATCTGCACTCGGCTTCAAATCAAGCTGAAGCCTCCCTCTGAGATCACTTTCTGCTCTCACACTGTAATTTTGGCTGATGGAGTCCAAAGCTCCTCGGCCGGTTCCACGCAATCACATCAGTCGGTGATTCCTGCAGCTGGAGCCGCCTTTAGAAAACAGCTGGTTCTGATTCTCTTCAGGTCTGTGCCTCACTGAAGGAGGGTTGAAGCTTCTCCACTGGATTGAAGAAATCTGCCCAACAATTGCATGAAAATTTAATGAGTGAAGCCAATAAACGGCCAACAGCTGAGGACACCTTTCGTGACGTCTCCTGCAGTTCCTCCGTTGTCCACTAGATGCTGCTCAACTCTGACTGTCACACCGAATACTCAACATTTCACAAAAGCAGAAGAAATCCAGAATCACATGAACAAAATGCACACATGTGGTGAATTTCTTTGTTTATGGCTGTTGATTTCTTTTCCTGCAATAATGAAAATAACCACCCAGTTGTTTCCTGTGTTAATCGCCATGCAGGACAAAATGGTTCAATGTCTTTTGTTTTTCAAACCTCTTCCTGTTTTTAAAAAGAACATTCACAATAATTTACTAAACTATCACTTCCTCTAATGTTTTATGCAATAACCGCCTCTCTCACACCCTTATATTGTGTGTTTGATGATTTTCTTTGCAGTTTACTTTTTTTTAATCAGCAATTCATGCAGCTTTGAGCTTTTGATTCTTTTAAACTTTTGCATTTTAAAGTAACTCCCCCTCAGTGGATACACAGGTTACTGTATGTTTGAACGTTAGTTTTTATGAGCAGGTGGATGTTTTTCTCTGTTTTCAGTCTTTTTTTATGTGTGTGTTCATTTTGTGTGTCTTGCTTGTGCTTTTTTTTTTTTGCATTTGATTATCTTCTCTTTTCAGTCAGTTCTGTCTCTTTTGGGTTGTTCTGTGTCTCTGCAGGCGTTTTTAAACTCTGCCGCTCATGTTGCATCTCCTCTCAGTCGACCTCTTCACAGCAGTTTTGTGTCCTTGTTGTCCAGAAGGATTGATGCAGCGCTCATCCTTCCACGTCCTTATGCACGTACATATCAGTTCATGTGTTTATTTGCTTGTGAGGGACCATATACAAGAGTAAACGTTTCTGTGTGATTGAACTGAACAACCTTGAAAGTCTTGCTTTTGCTTACCTCCATGTCCCAGCTCGATGCTGTGATGCTCTTCAGTCTCCATTCCAGTCCTGTCTTTTCTAATTTTAAATACATAATCCTGCAAACGTGGAGTGCGTGGAAGTGTTAAGACGACCAAATCGCAGAGAGATTTCTTGGTTATACTCCGCATAAAAAACTTGCGCCAGCAGACGACAGAGAAGAAGAAGGAACAAACTCAGAGAAATCAGCTGTGACAACATTTTATCAGGCAGTGAATGCATTCAGAGTTTAGGCCCCAAGAGTAGCAGAAGGAGAACTGTTTGAACTTATAGGAAAACTTCACTCCACATCCACCCACATGTGCATTTTCTGGCTCCGGTACATCAACACATGACACACTGTCAGTCTGTTCATGCTTACAACACGCTACACAACCCATCACAGCAAAAACACAACACAATGAGACCTGCAGCGCTGTCCTTAAGAGACGCATCTCTGCCCAACTGTCGCTGTGACGCCCTTGAGAACTGATCACAGTGAGGAGTTTGCAAACAAGCGCTGGGACGAGGAGGATCCATGTGTCGGCTCAGAGTCACTCAGTTCATGTTTTCCAAAAGGAAGGCGCCCTGCAGGGTTTGCTCTGGTCAAGGCTCAAATCAGGGCACGGTTGCATAAAACAGGAGGACAATAAGCAGCAGGAGTCTGTCAAATCCTAAAGGACATGTCGAGGTGTCTTGAGTTAAAGTGGAATAATAATATTTGGGCTGATGCGAATTAAAGTCGAAGCATTTTCTAAAATCCTCTTAAATTAGCTAATTACCGTAATGTCTGGACTATAAGCAGCTACTCTTTTCACACGCGTTGAACGCTGCGGCTTAAACAACGATGCGGCTAATTTATGGATTTTTACGAATCTGCCTCGAGACGTAAGCGACACTGAGAGCGACGACGACAGAGAGACTGAGGAAGTGAAGAAGTGATTCTGAGGCTGAAGAAGACGACTTTAGTGGTTTTAGTGCAGGAGGAAGGTGAAGATAGCGATCAGTGAGTTTTCCTGGTTGGCTGCTGGAGTTTTTATTTCCTTAACAGACGTGTTACAGGAAGTGTTCAGAAAAAAAGCATTTACGTATTTGTGTAGGTTAGCGCTACGTATTTAATTAAAAGTTTAAAAAATCTTTCTGTGTAAATATCTCATGTTCCAACGTGGACACCTGCAGCTTATATTCAGGTGCACTCAATAGTACAGAAACTACGGTAATGCTTTTGTGCTCAAAGAGGGGACGTTTATGTCTGTAGAGAACATTTAACAGGGACGTTAAATCTATGAAAACGTGAATTTTTCCTACTTCAGATTTATTTTGTACTCGACTTGTGATGTCTTCACTCTAACGTGCAGCAGAAGGGACACTGCTGTGTACTTGGTGTGTAGCTTCAGTATTTAAAGTTGTGTCCAGAACTGAGTAAAATCATTTCTCGCTAACAGCAATGATCTTTGTTAAAACTGGACGTGATTTTGTCATTTTTTTGTGCAGCTGAGTAGCATCAGCAGGAGAAGCTCTGCTGGTTTCCACCATCATGGTTTCCATCCATAGACTGTATAACAGATGGACGTAGCTACCGTGACGTTGGTTTCTGCACTGAGAACATGAAGCCAGGGTTTTGCTACTTCCTGGTTGACATCTTGGATTTTTGGAGCCAGTGA